GAAGGAAGGAAGGAAGGAAGGAAGGAAGGAAGGAAGGAAGGAAGGAACTATCCAAAATAAAAGCTGGTAGAGAATAATTCAGTCATTTTTAATTAGTGATGAAAATATTAACAGTTCTGCATTATTATTGAAGTCTAAATCTAATTCGTTCTTTCTAGCAATGGTTGTTGCCTTTTAAAGCTCCTTTTAAGACTAGCAAAGGACTTTTAAATTCTCCCAGCATTGCATCTTTTCAATTTAAAGCACTTATGTGATTTTTTTTAAAAAATGTGTCATGTAATGATTTACTGCTTTACTACTTACATTGCTCATGCATCTGTTATGATTTTTAAATAGTTTCTCTCTCTCTCTCTCTCTCTCTCTCTCTCTCTCTCACTCACACACACACACACACACACATAGTGTTTTGCAATATTCTACATTGCAAAATATAAATGTTAACCTCTCAATCAATCCTGAACATTGAAAAGCTAATGCAATTATCCTCATTCCTTTTCATCAGGGTAGATTTAACTTTTTAGGCAATGTTTCTATGCATATGGAAAAAGGTGGTGAGAAGAAACAAAGGGCGAGGTTCTGCCTTCTCCAGTTGGTGTGCCCAATCTGAGGAGAGGAGTTCCTTTCTTCAGAGCTCTAGCAACAAGATACATGGCTGTGGGACTGGATGGTGTCATCTGTTTCTGTGAACAGCCCACTTTCTTCATAGGTAACAGCTATAATAACAACAAAACATTAACAACCACTATCTTGTTGGTTGCTTCCTTTGTTCCCCCATGCTCTTTCCTTTTTGATGTCACTCTTAATCATAAACTGAGGAAAAGAGCTAGCTATTTATATTATAGTATTATTCCTACCCATACAGAAACTTCTGGCTTGGGTTTTTTTTTTTTTACAAAAAGGGCAGAGTTCATGCCTTGCATTTGGGAGCTTTAAAAATAAAGTGGCAGGCTGGGGGCAGACAATGTCTTATTGACAAAGGCCTTTGGGAAAGTTTCTAACATATGCAGGAAGTGACTTTGCCATTCAAGGAAGAATTGCTGCCTCAACACAACCAATCATTTCTGAGGAGCGCTTTATTCCACAATTTCATCTCAGAATAACCACCTTGTCATGAAGAAAAGAAGCAAAGAACAGAGGAGATATTTCCCCCACAAGAGGCGCTTCTGACATATGACAAATTATACTGACAATGCGTATAATTTATCCCTAAAGCGTTAAGTCATGTACAAACGATGTCAAAATGCTTACATTAAACATGCAGGAATGGACATTTTGCTGAGTTAAGAAGCAGAAATATTAACTAAAAAACAGAACAGAGGAGACAGCTTTTCTATTACTCTTTTATCAGCCAGTAATCTGGTCGATTGAAACATGCATTTGGATGTGATAATATCTACAAGCTCCATCCACAGAAATCAGTGATGAAAAACTATGCATAAATACACACTTGTATTATTAATCAGTGATTACAACTAAGCCAACGTTGCAGTAATAATCCCTACAGTTGTGACTATTGAGTATTCAAAGGTAAGAAAGACCAT